CCCTAACGTTCTGTGATTCTGTGATAGAGCTCTTCGTACAAGCAACAATTAACACGTTTATTCAACCTGTATCTGTGTCATCCAGTCATAAAATAATTCAGACGAGAAGTGCTCTATCCCTTTCTTCAAAGTTAGATCAAGTTCAACACCAGATCAGTTTGCTCACGGCATTGTCCAGTTTTGAGGACCTCCAATATTTTCATCTCCATATTTTGATGGAGAATATCTGAATGTCTCCATCTCTTGAATACAAAAAAGCGCTTCCTTTAGAAAACAAAACAAAACAACACTAAGAATATAAGATGCTTTTGGTCTTTGGGCTTTATTTTTTTCTTTACTTGTTTTTGTTATGTACGCTGAGGTAGCCTGGAGATTTAGTTGTAATCCAGCTCTATGGTGAAAAAGAAAACTTGATTTTCATCAAGACAGCTTAGCCAAAAATTAAAGATTTAAAAGCAACTGAAATGGTATGTTCAAAATAAACACTTTATTCCCTCAAGTCTTAGTTTCTTTTCACTTTCACAACACCCAAAACAAATGCTTTGCATTTTCCCTCGTAATTTGATTGCTATTCTAATAGCAGTTTCACCAAAACTACAGTGTGAAACTGAGGTGTGTTGCTCACCCCCAAGGTAAATTACTCTTCTTTCATGATCAGCTCACTGCATGACTCTGCTCCCCTCCCATTTTATGTTTCTATTTAAAAACCTCACAACAATGAATTTAGACAGTGAATGTGTACTAGGAGATAGAAAACTGACACAGTCTTATGGCTAAACAACACAGTAAGTCCAACCTTTCAGCTGAAGTAGTTTTAATGTGGGAGAAGAGAATCAATCCTTTATCGTAGGGTCTATGAATCACAACAAAACATATTGATTGCATAGGCTAATATTTGATTTACTACATGAGTTTCTAGAAAGTCTTCCAAAAAGCCCTACACAGAGAGGTTTAAAAACAATAACAACAAAACTTTCCAAAATTCTCATTCAAGGTAACTCCACCAATGGAGTAGCTCATAAGTCTCACACAGAATCACACCGAATATGAGGAGTTGGAAGGGACCTGGAAAGCTCATCCAGTCCAACCCCTGCCAGAGCAGGATCACCAGAGCAGTCACACAGGAACACAGCCAGGCTTCCTGGGGATTAGACTGAGCCCTAAAACGTGACCAATAGAGATGCCTGATTCTTTATACAGCAACACATCTCCAAGTGGAATGGGAATCAGCTCTCTCAAGGAGATGTACACTGCACCTCCTGTGCCCTTTTGAGCAGGAGGCAATAGCTGGGCAGGAGGCAGCCCTGAGTAGTTGGCACTGTACGTAGCTGGGTGCAATTGCTGTCTAGATAACAGCAAGAGCCTATCCCAAAGCAATAGTAACACACAAGATAGGAATGCTCCTGCAATAAACTTGGCATGTTCCTCAAGGAAACAGGTTCATCCTTCTTTTTTACTGTAGGAGTTTAGACTCTTCTCATGGCTGCATGAGGGTTTTTATACAATTGGACTGGTGAACAGGAAGCACTAAGTAGCTCATTCAGATTACAGACAAATCTACTATCGGCCATATTCTAAAACTTTCAATGGGACCTATAATTTATCTTCATTAATTAATGTTTTGTCTTCCTGTGAAGTCAGAACACTTTTTGTGTAATTTTACCAATAAGTCTGGAAAATCTTGCTATTGGAAAACTGATTTCTTTAACTTCATTTAAAACAGCTCTATCTATAATGCTTACATAAAGAATACAGATGTGAAGTCATACGTTTTATAGGTGCCTGAGGTATGTCCACAAGTGCTACTAGACTCTGCCTAGATTACTTTAGATTTATAATTTTCCTTGATTGAAAAGATTCACAAAATCACAATATGCAAAGAAATTTTGGAATTCCCTTTGTGCTGGCATCTGATTACCAAATTTTCTGGCGACATGCACTCTGAGGCCCTTACCAAGTCTTATACCCAAAGGACCATGGCAACATGTCATGGGGGAATTGGCTGGCATGACTGCACCCTGGATAAGTGGGCACATTGATCACTACGGCTTTCAGAACCTGCTAACCTTGATGAGCGTCTCCGGGCTGAAGATTTATTAATTTTATCAATCTGTTTTCTGCTGAGTCACTGTTTTTCACTGTTGAGGCACATTGGATGTATGTGCCTGAATTTAGATCTAGTGTCAGAGCAGGACAGTCTGAGCTCTGCTCAGTTCCCATGTTCTTAGTTGCACTTATGTTCTTCAGCTCTCTTTCTGCTACATCCAGGCAATTTGATCAAGCTCTGAAATGCCATCTGTGTGCCAATTTATGTATTTTTACTATGGAACTAAGTAATTGTTAGTTTTTAAGACCAAAGCTTGTAAAGTGCAACTAAATAATGAGACAAGCTGAGACAAGCACAGGTGAATTTAACAAATTCTGTATACATGAGCAAAGCCACAGTTCTCTTGCGTATGCACAGCTGAAACAGAATAATGAATCTGTCTTAATTCTTGCTTAATTTAATAGGGAAAAAAGGGTTTCAGAGATCAGATCAGTTCAGTTTAAAGTTGTAGTATAATGAGTTTCTCTAAAGTTAATTAGTGAGACCAGAAGAAATCCCCAAGAGTATTCTTTGAGATCCCATTTGCATTGGGAGGAAAGCAAGAGACATACTGAGCAACTGCATCTCTACTTCAAGTTCCTGCTCTACACAGCACTATACAGAAAATTGCTTTGCTATCAAACCCTCAAGTTTTGTTCTAAGATATATACCGAAAGAAAAAAAATTCCTGTGAAGAGGACCAGCGGTGACAAACTATGTAACCTCCAGAAGACTCATTTCACAAAACCGCCAAAGGACAGGAAATGGCTGCAGCTAAAATAGCAATCAGCTATTAATTTACAGAATGCATTAGTCAGGGTTACCTTTAGTGTCATTTAAAATTGAGCCAAAGGCACTGATCACCACATCAGCTTTCAGACGGACAACCTGATCCTCATCTTCTTTCCAGTTTCCATCATTATCTTGTTCAGTTCTAACAAACTCCATAGCAACAATTTGTCCACCTCTAAGTACAACTTTCCGAGGGGAGAGGAAAGGCAGAAATTCACACTTCTCTTCTTTTGCAAGTTCCATCTGTAGAGTAGAAGCAATAAAATATGTAACTTGAACGCTGTTGAGTTTTTATGAGAAAGAAACATAAAATATATTTTGACTCAAGATGCTACCAGGCATTATTCTGTAGTAGAAGTCACCCGTGTACAGTATACGGCCAGTCATCCCAATATCAACTTCAGAGCCTTCTGTGCTATTAAATCAAGCAGTTCTAGACAGTGGCACTAGGTAAATTTGCATTGCAAATATGTATCCAATACATTTTCTTATCGTTCCCTGTTACTTTGAATATGTATAACTCTTCTGAGGGCACAAGAGTCTTCTGTAGCTATCGGTGTCTTTTATGCAGAGGCCTAGCATTAAGTACACGCCCTGATTTCTGTTTGCTATGATTTTAAGATGTCATTAAATGCTGACTGCCATGTGCCAACAACAATTTTCTGAGTGACAATCCAGACTTAAGATCTGAATCTCTGCTGTGGTAAAACTGATGAAGTCTAACAGCATTTTGTCTTAGCAAAGTCTTCAGGATTTGGTTATCTACGTTTACACGACAAAACTTTTTCAAACATGTAATATCCAATCTGACATCATTCTAGCATGGCCATTACTAGCTGAAGCTACTCTTATTTTACATTTTTCAGGACCACTGCATGACTGGATGAGTGCAACCATTGACAACTTTTAGGAATTTACCCAGGCTGCTCACAAAGATTTTAGCTCAGAGTGACAGCTGATTCTTGATAGTAAGAACCTCAATAGCATATGAGTGTGTCTGTGCAATGGCTTCAGTAATCTCATTGTGTCTAGAACTCTTGAATTAAATGCAACAAAACCAGAAGCAAATTATGCATCAAGAGACACTATACTACATTTTTTTGCCTCCATTCTCCTTCTATGAGATCTCTAAGATGCCAACCTTCTTGAAACAGATGACCAAACTACCATAAATCTCATTATAAAGATGTATCAGGTGTCCTGATCTCCTCAAGTATGCAAAAGTGTAAAGTGTGTACCAAATAAATGATAATGGAAAAAGACCACCAGAATAAGAAAATCTAACCTGAAAAAGCCCTCCTGCAGCACAGATACACTGAGGAAGCAGAGTCGGTTTCAAAATGTGCAGATGTCCTGACAAATGCCAAAGTGCAAAGCCAAACTGAAAATCAAATTGAATGCTGAACTCTGTGACGAATGGCATTGCTCTATTGCCGCTGGCAGTGATTCAAAACCAAAATCACTGTAAGTAATTTTCTAACAGCATTTCACAGGCTCCCAAGGCAATGTCCAGATCACTAATGAATCATCCAGGTTCATCAGACAGCAACCAAAAGGTATCATTCTAGGATCTAACCATGACCTGAATTCACCTGCAATACTCAAATGGCTGTTTGAACTCTGGGCTGCTTCCAAGGGTAAAAATTCTACTGTGTTTTCTAATTTATAAGAAATTCTACCCCTTGTATGCAAATGCATCTCTCTGACTTTACAGGAAACAGGTACAACAGAGGGAAGCAAATGATTTATACAGAGACTATATAAAATGAGCCTCAGATCTTTAATAAACATCTATACTTTTTAAAAGCATTTTTATAAAGAAAACCTTTAGTAGATGTCTTTTAAGTACCTATAGCACACTTTCAGGCTCTGCAGAAATAACAAGCAATATTGCTTCTCATAAATGCCGTTATTCAGCTTTACCTCTTCTGGGACAGCCCTGATATTAGTGAACCCCTTCCTGAAGACCACAAACACGCGACGAGCTCCGCAGCGTAAAGCAGATGTTGCGCAGTCAAAAGCAGTGTCTCCTGCCCCAAGTACAATCACAGTTCCATGTACTGATGGCAACGGAGAGTGACAGGCACACATCCCTGGAAGATGAAAGGAAAACCCCATTTTCAAGTAGAGAAACCATTTCTGCTTGACAGCTCAAAAGGTACTTGTACTCAAAGCAGTGTAAAATTGCATCTTACAGTTTCCAAGCATGGAGTGTCTCTATCAAATTATTCTGCTTCGCTGAAAGACAGTTTTATTCCTGTTTTTAAGATATGCTCATATACATAATTTCATAGTCAGTACTCTAAGCAGCTGCACCTTTCTATCTGGAAAGAATTCAAATGACAACGTATTGGTAGGATTGTGGGTCCTGTCAGGTTGAAATTAGCACTGTGAATTTTTTTCATTCAAAAAGTAAGTTTATCTCATCAGATTCATTACACTCCCAGTTAGAAAAAACCCACCACCTTTCAAAACACGACCAGTTGTTGATAGTTTTGTGTATAGTTTCTCAAAGTTAGTCTCCCCAGTCAGTTTTCTACAAGGCACTGACACTGTTCTGGCTATAGCATGGTTCTAGGAGGTTGTTCTCTAACGTAGCTGAACACAAGGCAGAAAGAATATTGTGATTTCAGTCGTTCCTAATCTTCCACTGGGAGAAAACATTTAATCTACAGTGGCTTTCTACAGATGATTTGCAAAAAGTTACACGGAGAGAATGACATTATGTGTTCCTCATCTATGGCTTTTATTTGATGATTTGCTTATACAAGAAATAAGTAAAACGGAACTGTACGTGTTCCTTGTATGAGACTGCACTTTACCACAAGTTTATATACAACTAACTGATTAGGCAAATTATAGTAACTTAACAAAAATAATGCCATCAACATTATAAAGCTATATTCTCAATGAGCCCATGATAAAATTTCAGTCAGGAGGTGCTAAGCTGGCCATTTAATCATTAACTGTAGCTCAAGTATCCTGATATAGTAGCAGCAGATTTGCACAAGCAATAATAAAGAAAAACAAGCAAAAAGCAATGCTTTTAATTTACACAGAGTGAGAAGCATCCTAATAAACATATTCTCCCTCCAGTTGTAAAATGCTATCCATTTAGCAAATGCTATTGTTTTTGCCCCTATATATATGGCATTGTGTTGACTATTTACTTCTTATTCTAAAATGCTCTCTAAACTTTCGTCATTTATTTTTAACGAACTTAATCCTTCGCAAAAATTGTACGCTGAGCAGTGGTAAAAGCACAGGTGCAGCAGGGGAATGGCAGTTCAGAGTGTCATTACGGGACTACTCTAGAACAGATCAGTCCACTTCGCTCTGGGTAACAAGGCCACTCCCAAGGTAAATTCACGTTTACGTATTAGCAAAGGGAACCCCTTTTGGAGGAAAGTATATTAACAAGTGGTATTCAGAACTTAATAAGCAGGCAGAGTATGTATTTTACAGTGATTAAGTCTATGATTTAGAAAACTGTCATAGTAAAAAAAGATGACAGAGCAGGATATAGGACATGTATATTTTATTTTAAAATTCCATGCTTTAGAGAGCAAGAGGTGGCTAGAGCTACAGACAGACGCTAGGAAAGCTAGGTAAAAGAGACCATGTTAATTAACAGACAACATGAAAGAGCTATCTATTACTGTCAGTCAGAAAAGGTTAGTTCTTCAAAGTTCATACTTTTTCATTGTAGACTTAATATAAAAAAAAATATCATTATATATCCTGGTAAATCAAGAGTGCTACTTTGCAACATTTTAAAAGATGTGGATCATAATACAGAGATCCTCATGCAGGAGGGCAACTTAACATTCACAAGTGTTTTTAGTCAAATTATTACAAGAGGGAACTGTTTTGCAAGATTTATTTTTCCTTTATTAATAATTTCCTTTCTTAATTAATTTCCTTTATTATTACTAATGTTTTGCAGTGCAGATTCTCAATCTGGTTCATTTTTAAACATCTATTTCTTAAAAAACCCAGACAAACAACCAAACAACCAGACAACCCTTTTCTCCCAATCCATTTGAGCTCACTTTGAGCTTAAGAAACACACAAATAAGCATTTAATCAAAACAGCAGCGATGGGACAGATGGGATGCAGAATTTCCCTTCCTAAATATTTTGCATAAAAATGGGTAATAAACTTTACTTCTATATGCAGAATAATTTGCCACAGAAGACACATTCTTCAACACATTGTTCCTAGAAAGTCTACTAAATTAGCAGGCAACCCTATATGATCCTAAAAGAAATTTCTGAATGCTCAGAAGAAAATCAGTTTGTCAATAAAAAGGCATGTGTGTGGTTAAATATGTGGTTGTGAATACAAGACCACACACTGCACTAAGTATGTGCCCAGAAAACTGTACATGGAATTTCTTTTTTATCGACACACAGGGGACTCTAGACCAGGAGGGAATGTGGTGCAGAAATCACGAGCCCCCATCTCATACATCCATCTGAGGCTGATGACTTCACATTCAGGGCCACTGAAAGCTGCTATAATCCTTGGGGAGCTAATGCAGCCATCTCTGTACACAAAACAAAGACATAAAAGCACAAACCAAGACTGCATTTGGTGCCCATGAACTGAGTGCTGTCTTATTAACCCCCGGCATACTGCTCCTGTCTTGAGTCTTAGACTGTGAGTCCTTTGGGTAAGGAACTAGTGCTCCCTTAAATGTGTCAGTAAAATATGCAGCACATGACTTGGGATCAAGTAAAATAATGTACCAACAATATACAAAGCCACTGCTTATATGGGTTGGCAACACCTTCTTTAATATAAAATTTTTCCAAGTCCATCTTATATATACTGTCAAGGTAATTTATACAAATGAGAAGCTTACGACATCTTTCATATATAATTCAAAATAACAAATATAACTTATTAGGTGTAATGCTTTATCACATCCTTAGATTCTTACGTGTGACTATTTGATTTACCATCTTGACTTTGACTTTCCTGACCACACTCCTGAGGATGCAACTCACCAAGAGAAAACCCTGCCCCAGACCCATTCACTGGGAGAAGCTTCACGATCGGATGTGCCGCTGCATAACCAGCTGTCCATTTTGATACATCAATAACTGCTAATGCCTTGCTGAATATGATTACAAGAACATAATGTCATGCACCTGGTTTACTTGCCATTGCCACCAAAGGCAGGAAGTCTTTAGATGTGTAGAATCCTTGGTCCATTCTTAGTCCTTGGAATATTTTCTCTCTGTTTGGTTCTGGCAAACCTAAAACAGATATTTTAAGACATATCAGAACTACAAAGGAAAATGTCAAAGACCAGTCTACATTTCACATTACACACGCATTCTCAAAAACATCCTCAATACAAGCACTTCTACAGACCCTCAGATGTGACTAAAGGAACATCACAAATGACTGCAGTTTTTGTTTGTAGGCTGTAGCTTACATAACTGGTGATCTTGTAATAGCACTGGCACTTGAAAACAAGGGTTTTGGATAACCTGTGTACTCATATAATTCATACCAAAAGAAATGCAGAGGAAAAGGTTAGAGAGAACAGGATATACAGGGTGCAAATGCACAGAAGCTACTGGGGAAAACTCTTGTAAGCTTTTCTTGTATTGTTTCACTGGCATACAGATGTAACTCTTACTGCTGTGAAGTGATTTTGCTCACTTTGTTTGGAGGCATTTTTCAATACAGCTAGTCTGTGGATAATACAAATGAGGGAATAATAAACAGCTTAACCGATGAGGAGAGGAGGACAAATGGCAATGCTGTAGATCTGTCTTATCTACGAGTATTTGTATGCCATCTTTTTTTTGCCATTCTTGATTGTTTTCTCAAAACCCCCAAGTCCTTATTGGCTGACATTTATTTATCGTTATTAATAGCACACAAAAGTCGTAGGATACAGACAGGGATACACTTCACAACCAATAATAGCAACAAATACCTCTCAATTAAAAGAAAGCAGCAAAAAGCATCTTCCCATTATTAAATATCTTCTCCTTGCAGTGTGAACATTTGGACAGCACAAAAAACCAGCCTAGCTGACGTAGAAGTTAAAACATCTTTTTCATGCAATGAAAAGGTTTTAATGCAATGATCTACCAGAGTATTTTCAACGGGACCTTGACTTTCATGTTTACATCTAAAAACCCCATAATATTATCAAAGTATGCTAATTAATAATTACACACTGAAATGGAGTAAATGTCAATGATTGTTCTAAGGAAACACAGCAGAACTGAGGAGTCCTCAGCGCAAACAAGGCAGAATTGGAGCATGCAAAGCAATCTGTGTTCCCTCCATTCTCAGGCATGGATGGCAGCAGATGAATCTTTCTTCTCTTTGAGACATACTGGTCTGCAAAACCCCAATAACACCATGCTAGTTTCAACAACAAAGCAGGATTGCGCTTTGAGGAGCACTGTTCCAAGTAGGGAAGGTTTAGGGACTTTTTATATTATGGAAGCAGCAAAAATCTGTCTCATTTCAGCATAGGATCAGGTCTCGGACAGAAGAAAAGATTTTTTTTCATGAGTCATCTGACACAAGGGAAGTTTCTCAAACCTTTAGATCCCTGAATGAAGTTACTATAATACAAGAAAAAACCACTGTATTTTTAGTTTTATCAGTTTCAGTGAAGAAAATGAAAACATCCTCTCAGGGAATTCAAAAGGCTCACAAGACAAAAAAACAAATTAAAAAATCCTGAAATTTTTGCATCTGAAAATTGTCATGTTATCAAGCACCTTCTTGACCTCTATTTATAAAAAAAAAATCATAACTCAGTTGCTGAACAATTGACTTTCAAAACATCCCTGATTTGTAGTTGGATATTGAGAAAATTAAGGTTAGGAAATACTAGCACGTACTGAACTTCAAGACCTTTGAACACTGTATGTCCTGGCTAGACTGCAATATCAGCTAATGAAGAATGAATAATGGATATCTTAAGAGGTTGCCAGAAATACTTAGTGCTATTCAAAGTATAATATGTAAAATGCATTAAAGGAATTATTTTTAAAACTGCATAGGTTTTCCTCCATGTATATATTGCAAAATCATCTATGGCAAGAAGAGTATCTTGGAAAAAGCTCTCAGTGACTGCCTACAGGCAGAGGACAGAGTAACTTTTTCCATGGAGGTATCTGTAAACCAGCTCAGACGCCTCAGTTTGCTTTTGGGGGAGACACTCATCATTAGTGAGATGTACAGCCTGCACTAAAGAGAATTTCCTTTCTACCTAACATCTATCTCCATTCACAACCAAGCAGAAACCCTCACATTTTTTTCCCACTTATTTTTGCCACTTTTATAATCTCCAAATGAAAATTATTTCATCTCTAATGGCATCAGTAATTTAGCTCCCATAGGCTGAGAAAGAGTAAATTAAGGGACTGTTGCAATGTTCACGGTTCAGGTTCATCACTAGTTCAGTGTCACTGAAATCGAAGCAGTTGGATTAAGAATGCATCAGATTCAATAATGTCAACTCTGGCTGATATGTCAGAAAAAAAAAGCCTAAGAGGTACTCAGTGTTCATGGCATTTTCTGCTATTTATTTTGCTATTTTCATTTTGCTGAAAACTCCACAAAAGCCAACTCTGCAATATTTACATTTGAAGAAAACGCAGCGGATTTTTCTCTTATACCTATAAACACCTGGCACAGTTTCAAGCTAAGCATCTGCTGGAAGTTATACTGGATTCTGATGTATCTCCTTTTGCTGTTTAGCTTCTGCCATTATAATGATTGCACTTAATTTTGTCAGAATAGAGACTGAGTACTTCTTAAAGTCACTAGGCTAGCTAAGAAAGAGGCAGAGGCAGGCAAACAGAAAGAGATCAAGAACTGATAAGATCCACTTTAGAGAGACACCGTTTCATAATAAACATCCACCCCATAGAACTACGCTTTACAGACAGATCAAATATTGATAAATAGCCAACAGCCTCTCAGGAGAGAGAACATTTGACAAAAAAAACAGCTGTAGAGGAAAAAATGTCATTTCGAGCAAAGGGGTTTAGAGAAGAAATAAAATTTAAAAAACTCCAGTCATCTACGAAAGACACAATTTAGGTCAAAATAATGAACCAAGAGAAATACTCTGAAGATAAATCAGAGAGATCCTTTAGCAAAAGGGAATTCACATACTAGTACAAAATAGCCAGGAGCCACCAGAGGAAAAATGCTTAGAAAAACATGAGGTCTCCCTAAGTTTTAGACTGAAGTCAATGGTAGTCAGTTCTCCGCTCTCCAAATCCACCTGCAAGCCATGGAAAAGTATTTTTTCATTTATTACTTGGAATTTCTTGTCCTGAAACAATCTTCCAGGTCTCCTGTCTTTAAATAACCTATATCTAGTGATAACAATGATCTCCTTCACCTGCACTGAAGAACAAATCTGCTGCAAAGAGGCAGCCTAGAAAGACAACTCCACAGACAGACTCTGTGCATCTGTACGCAAGCAGAGGGCTATGCCTGCCCCCAACTTCTGCAGCCAAAGCCCTGGACTTCCTGAAGCCACAGTCCCTTTACCTGCTGATACCAGGGAACAAGCTTCTGAAGCAACTGATATCCAAACCACACAGTGAAGCCTCATGGGCTGTGGAAAACAGCATTTACTAAGAATAGAGGAAGCAGAAACATCATGAAAATAACAGCTTGCATGACAGATCTAGTTCAGCTTTGCAAAAGCTTATCTAGACAGTCCCAATCTGGGTCAGGTACAGCATAGAAAGCAATTCTTCTCTGTTCCTGACGCTCAGGTTTGCTAGGCCCAGCCTTGCATCTCCAGATGCTGCAGCTATCTCTCAGCAAGCACCACTCTCTCAGTATAAAGCCTTTTTTCCTTCATTTGATTCGCACAACCCCTTCTGCAGTGGGCTATACCTCAGCAGGGTCTCTCCCATGTCTGACATACCATATACTTTCCACAGTAACAGTGGCTTTGGAAAACACAGACCTCCCATTTTTATATCTTTTATATATATACATATGAATATATACATGCATATATGTATTAGAAAAAAACATCAGCTTTCTGTCAAGATCTTGTGCTCTTTACTATCACAATACTTATGCATGTCAGTTTTCTTAACTGGTGGTGTTAATTCCATCATCTCCATTTAAAGAGACAGAATTGAGATCCTCTCACAAGTCCAGATGAAACATGAATCACTAAACAATTAGAGTCAATTTGTCAGATATACAAGGCAATATACAACAGTGATGCATACACAACGTAAGGGATTGGCATGCAGAGCAATGCACCTAGTCCACTTAGTTGTTGCACCAAATAAATCAAGGCACATCAACACATCAATCAGCTAAGTTTGAAAAGGAAATAAATACTGCTGCTATTACTGTAACTATTAGCCTGGTCTGGAAAGGAAAACTAAAGTGGGAGTAGATGTACAGCATATATCTCACTCCTATTTTGATCAAATCCTGTTAGGAATGCCTTCTGAACCTGAACTCATTGTTTGGATTACTTAAATCTGACGTGTTTGGGCAGATTTGCAGTTTCAAATGAACTTCTCAGACAGTCTTGATAACTGACATACAAAATAAGCCCTCGTCCTTGGCAAGGGTCAAATCTGCTTTTCACTGGCAGCTGACTGAAAACAAATCTTCAGACAACAAAAAAATAGAGCTGAAGTGTAAATATATAGTAGCCTGCAGGGAAAAATACTTACTAGAGCATTGTGAGGTTTTCTGGTTTTCCTCACACTGAAAAGCTTGGTTCGCTTCATTTAAAATTGGGCTAATACCACATTTTGGAAAAACTTAAGCTGAAACAGGTAAACAAATGAAGAGCTAGGATCTTTCAAGCAACACTCCCTCTTTGCATTCTTAGCTGTTATAATCCTGACAGAAGAGAGTTTTCAAGACGAGAACTGTCTGAATTGTTTTTTACCAACCCTTTGCTTTCAGGTAAAAACTGAAATTCAGACTAGTGAATGCAATCTGTGCTTGAATATACTAAACCCAATTTTTTAAAAAAGCCAAGACACTCTATTTTGACATTTTTTATAACGAGTCTTTCAACTTTGTTTCAAAATGACATTACATTTATAACTTTATCCAAATTGAATTCAAAAGAAAACACAGAAAAATTGATTCATTGGCTATGCTCATGTCTTTTTCTGCCTTTCAAAAACAGCAAACCATAACCAACATTCATCAAGTCACCCATTCACCAATTTAGGGGACTTCTTTTCTTTTTTTAAAATATTCTCATAACATACAAATA